GGTAGAGTTCTGGTCCTCTTCATCACTACTGCTTTCTGTCTGCACTCCAGGTAGCACTTCTTTTGTACAATCCTCAAACTGTCCATTTACTGGCTCGTTGTAGTGCTGTTCCACCAGTTGCTTAAACTCCTTAATTGCTTCAACGTTTTTTGTAGATGCCTCCATTCTTACTGTCGCCTCTACAGGAATCTCCAAGTCTCCTTGTATGAGTGGCGATCGTCAAAAGTGTGCGTCCGTTACTGTGACAAAGACACGTGATAAATGACCAAGTGTAACATTTGATAGTTGTCTGGGAAGCGATTTTGTCGCGGGTATTGCGTATCGATCATGTTAGTTGTTTCTTTCATGGATGCAGGAGAGGACGTCTCCAACCTTAGGTTTTCATATCTCTCTATACACGTGAAAGCCTCTCAAGCCAAGGATCGTGTGACAATTGGGAAATTCGCAAGTGAAAGTGCAAAATCGCAAAAATAATGTGTCGCAAAAATTTCACGTAATAAAGTACTTTAGGTTTCACTGTTGATTTTCACGTAAGGTGGTACCTAGTGATCTTTACCTCTGGCAGCATGTCATAAGGCAGGTGACCCTCTAAGCCCATAACTTAAGTGCATATTTTTTATCTTGTTTTTCTAAAAGACTGTGGATATCAATAGTATGCAATATGTACCTACACTTCTTAGATCTATCCAAAAAACACTGGATCATTGTTAGCTTCAGCTGCTCCATACACCTCAAGCCCGTATGAGACTGTTAGGTAGTACAATGTATAGGTAGTCAATTTCTTTCTGACTGTACCCGACTCTTCTAAGCGTCCTGAGCATGTGGAGAGACTTGTTTGCTTTTCTGAGTTTATTTTTTGCATGAATGTTAAATCTGGTGTTGGACTAAAAAAAGTAACACCCTGCAAAACAAGATCCCTGACCTGAGGTATTCTAGCTACTCTATCAAAGATTTGTGCATTGCCTTTTTTCATAAAGGCAAGTTCTTTACATTTACTAGGATTACAGGTCATACAGTTGATTTTTGACCATTCTAAGAACTGCCTTATTAACTGTTTCGAACAGTCTGTATCCCTCGAGACAGGTGCAATTGTTGTGGTGGAGTCTTCCCCATATTTATGCAAATAAGTTCTGGAGCCATTTTTTATCTCAAGGTCATTTAGAAAGGGGATTTAACGTTTATCTTCCGACTTACAATCTAGATGTAGATATGAAACAAGGAGGCAAGACACCAAGAAACAATTATGTTTATTTTAGCAGGTATTATTTTTATGTCGCTTTATACCCCCAACAATGAACATCTTCACCCGTAACATCAAGTCGACTCAAGCGTAACAGGTGTTACAGGTTACGGCGGTTATTGACATCCCTGAAGATGTAAAACAGGAAACAATCTGATTCATATGTCTGCTGATACTGAAGTATGTATATTATTATCCGGAAAATGATAAACATGGAAACATCAACAGTTTCTCAATCTCAAGAAATATATTAAGTAATGCTCTAGTTATTGATATTTTTAATAGCTAAGGAAAACTGAAATTTGGTTTTTTGACGGCCCATCCCTGGCCAGACAGTGCTTCTAAGATAAAGTTCCCATCAAAGCCACGCATATTGTGAAAAAAGGTGATGACTTTGCAGGGTCTCTCATCTCCCTCCACTTCCGTTAGGTCTTTAAGGGCTTGCAGTAAATCTTCAATGTTATTGCAATGGTGAATCACATGATCATCCTCTTCTGACGACCAGCAAACGAGGTTAGGTGTAAAATGTAATAATGGAGGGGGTGGAGGGCCTTGTTTGTCTTCATTCTCATCCTCCTCTTCGTTGAATTCATTGGGGTCTTCCAAGTTATCATCTTGGGGGTTGTTTTCTTCAGGTCTGATAGGTTGAATGAAACACCAATGATTTACATGGCAGAATTCATCGCAATTCGTGCAGGTGGCGTGGCAACACTTAAGGGTTTTTTTAGGATTAAACTGGTATTCTGCTGACCACTTTAAACATTTTCGCCACCTTTCGCAAAGACTTTTGTCTCCCTTCTTGTTGCCTTTGGCCTTGTGGGCTTCATAGCAGTCTTGCCCATAGAACTTATAATGGCAGGATGTGCATTCCACAGTGGTTTTAATCCAGGCTGCTTAATTGGGGCAGGTCTTATTGCGTCGACAGCAAGCAGGGCAGTTCTGTCCAGTGCAATTATGGTGGGAGGCTTCTTCTCTATCATAGGCCTTCTCGCAGAGACGGCAGTAATAGGATGAATTAATAAGGGCGGGAATGCTGATTAAGCCATCATAATGATGATGATGTTTGACTGAAGCAATGACATGAGGTGCATCATTGTACCCAGCTTCTTTAAACACAACCAAATACTTTGAGGGTTCTACGACCGAGTTGGTATACTTGTGGTCCTAGAATTTCTTGAAATTAGGTCAATTCTTTAAAACCACAGGGGCCTGATGGAGTTGTTTTGCCAATCTTTCTTGAATGGGTCTACCGTTTCTCAAATTGTTAAACTGGGAGCCGTTGTCCACCCTTTCCTTCATAGTGACAATCACCCCGGCACAGCAGAGGTCATCTTTGTTTTTGATTCTAACCACGCACCGTTTTTTCTTGGCGAGTGATTCCTACATGTGGCGCCCAGGATTTCTTTTTTTTCCCCTCCATTTTTCCGTCCACGAACCAGGGTTTTACAAAGGTGAGCTCAACAAAAAACCCATCTCGATGGGGGTCAATCACTTGAGAAGAATTCAGTTTCTTAGCAAGATCTTCTAGCCAGGCGTGGGTGTACAAGCCATTATTTAACCACTCCTCTAATGGGACATTTCGAGCCCATTGAGACCAGACATGTGAACCAGTTAGAATGGACTGCCACTAGCAATGAATAATCCCTGACGTTGAACCCCTCATTTTCCACTACCCTCCGTAACCCCTGAATCATCGCTTCGGTAATTGCTTCCCCAAGCGGATCATCAACTGGATCTTGCAGTTGGTGCAATGTAAGCTTGTATTTCTTTTGATCTGCAATACCCCTAAATGATCTGTTTCTACCCATGGGGGTGAATTCAGCGCGGGAAAGCGAATTGCCCCCATGCTGTTCAAAGCGTCAAAAAGCAGACAAGAAAAGATCATCATCCTCTTGAGCAAATAACTCTATAAAAGAAATGAAAGGCCTGCATTAATGCGGGAATGTTCATGCTCCGTTACACCTTGTTTGAGTTTCTATTTATTTGACTTAACAATCCGTCTCTGTTTGTTTTTCTCCCTTCGTTACTCTGTTACACTCCTACATTACACTAATCACATAAGTTCGTCCCTTTAGTCTACCCTTCCTTAACGTTAGGAAAAGTAAGAAGCTGACTAACCTTCAATACTACTATCAATTGCGTTGACTGAAGTTGTATCTTGGTTGATAAACTCTAAAAACAATCATGAACGCAAAACAATAAACTTAAAACGAATTCATAGTCTGTGTTGTTTCATTAACTTTGTTTAAGGCAAACTAAACTCTTACCTTCTATCTTGATCTTGGTCACCAAATTTCAAGATGGTTCTACCTCATTGCGAGCAATAAGAATTGAGAACTCGAAGACACTTTGAAATGAAGACTCGTGGCAAACTAATCGTTCTTTATTAATGCTAAAACAAAAGGCCGCCTTGACCTGTCAGATGAATTTGCATACAAATTCACTGCAGCGTATTGTATGTGTGGAAATTATACTTTGGCTGAGTTCGTTCTTTAAACATTGACGTCTTTCTTTTGACATTAGGAATTAGTTGGCCATCTTGTCTCTTTTCATCATTTGTATTTCTAGAACAGGGGAAATTACTTTTCGCTTACCTAGTATTTTTTGCTTTTGTTTTACACCCATTGTCTAAAGGATTAGAAAGCCGTCTTGTTCACGTCAATGACTATTACACAACCATTTTGCCTGCACGTAATTTCACCTGGTAATTGACGTTTCTTTTAAGGAGGACAATTTTATTTTCACTTTGTAAGGGACGTTTTGTAAGCGCTGGATATTCTTTTCGCTTTTTAAACCTGGGGCCATTTTATTTTCCCTACCTAGACTAATTAATCCTTCCATTGATGTTCACTCATTGTTTAAAGGATTAGTCAGCCATCTTGCTTGACGTCAGTGACTATTACACAATCTTTCCGCCTTTATGCAAAGAATTTTCGCTTTTGCTTCTAACTGGCTACGTGCTCAGTAACTAAAGATGGTTTTTCTTTACCATATGACTGTAAATCAACTTCCCCCCTCCACCACCACCACTTCAAAATTATGCTACAATTTATGCCACTGTCTGCCCACTTGTAATTTCAGAGACCCGTGAAAAAGACTTGGGATATGTACTAAAACTGTCCTCTTTTAATGCTTCCCTATTCACCCTCCCCTCTTACATACAGCTCTGTCACATGTGCTCCCGTCCTGGATTTAACAGTTGCAGGGTTTTCATTAATTTTTGAAAATTAGACTCTCGGAAATGCATTTTCCAGCATTCTGGGGTGGAAATTTATAATTCTATTCCCTCATTTTGCAAACGAAAATTGTGAATAATTTGCGGAGCTTTTACTTATACTAGCAATGTTGTAACTGTTTACAGCCTTAGAGAATTTACTAAATTGACAAGCACAAATTGACTTCATGAAAACCAATAATGTAACTAATTTTGTAACTTTTTGCAGCCTCAGGGAATTTACTAAATACATAATATAACAGTATGGATAATGAACCAAACTTACTGGCTTACCGGTATATTGCTTAGTTTATTAGATAGTGAGCCACACTGGCTTTTCTGATTTAAATTATAATAACTGAAACAAACATTATATAGATCGTAGAGTTTCATGAATGAACTCCTCCTGTACTGTTATGCTGCTTTCATTCATGAAGAAAACTTAAAGTCAATCCTAAATACGGGCAACTAATGTATGAAGCTTAAAAGGACTACACTATATGTCATGGGAAAATTCAAAGTCAGAACCATAATCTGAGGTTTCATCTACTCATCTGCAATTGTACGTTGAACTGGCTGAATGACGCTGTCATCATTTGTCTGCACACCAGCATCCTGCATGGTTACCGTTACAACGTTCTCACTTATACCACTTGAATTGGCGACCAGTGGTGTGCTGACAAACTTTGGAGGACACTTTCGGCGTGGTTTGGCAGCTAACCAAGCTCTAACAGAAGCATCAATCACTCCTTCAAATTCCTTACTTCCCACTTTAGGACCATTGATGAGAATGTGTAGCAGAGCGTTGAGCATGTCATTCTTCATTCTACTTTGAAGCCTTGTCTTCATCAGTTTTAAAGAACTGGCACCCCTTTCCGGCCATGCATTCGAGACTGGAAGAGAGATCACTGCCTCTGCCAACTTTGCAATAAGTGGAAGATTAAATGGGACCAGGTCCTTCATGAACATTAGCTTCTGGAGGCACCAATCAGTTGAAGTGACTGTAGGTTTGCTTCCACCAGAGAGCTTTCTAACTTCCTCAGGCAATTCGTTCTTCCATTTTGCCAAGTCGTACTTGAATACCTGCCACTCATCCATCAACTGGTTTTTGTGGCTTTCGTCATCAAAGAACTGCTCAGCCAGAAGTTTCACCGCTGCACTGCCATAATCCCTGAATCCTGGCTGGCCCCTTTCTGGAACTTGTGCGGGGTCAAATATACTAAAAGCAGACAGGAGGGGAAGGGCAGGAAATCTGCTACTTAAACTTTCTTTCAGTGAATTGACATATTTCACCAGGAAATTGGTGAGAAACAGCTTATCTCTATCAGACGCAGTAAGATCAGCTTGTTCCAATCTGCCTCCAGGTGAAAGATCTCTAAGGAACTCAGTGACTGGAACTCTCATCTGGGCAATTTTGTCAAGGTCATCGGTGCACTTCTGAATTGCTGGCTTTATATGGGAGAAGGAAACCTTTCCTTGTTGGAAAGCATAGCTGAGCCTGTTGAGAACAGGAAGAACGTGATGCATGACTGTTACCACCCCAATGAATTTCACTTTGTGCATCTTTGCGAGAAGACCTGACGCCTGAGCATCTTTCTGGTCAAGTTGCTTTAGTGTAAGCATGAGTGGTACGTAATCCTTATGTACACCCTCTACAGCCTTGCCAAGAGAGAGCCACCTCGTGCGAGTAGCCTTAGCAAGTCTACGGACGCACTTATCTTTAGCCTCTTTTGAAGGCTCTTGCAGCTTTTTCACGTTAAGTTGGGTCTTCAGATATGCTGTAAGTCGTTTTGGGGAATTTTCAAAAAATTTCTAGATCTGAAAAAGCCATCTCTCAACTTCTTGCATGTATGCGATATCCTCATTAGTGTCACAGCAAGTAAGGGACAGTTTATGGCGGATGCAGTGAACGCTGACGAGGTGTTTGTTCAACTCTTTCAGCCTGGTGGCCACCCCACTGGTTTTTCCAGTCATCACGGATGCTCCATCCGTGCAAAGGCCATTGAGCTTTCCAACTGACAAGTCACAATGGTTTAACTCTGTTACAAGAGTCCTCGTTATGGTTTCTGCATTTGCAGACTCAGATTCAACAAGGAGATCATTTGCACTAAGAAACTTAATCTCTGTGCCACCAGAAGTGCTGTTCCAAAACTGCACGAACGTGATTAATTGCTCAGTAACAGAGATGTCTGTTACTTCATCAATTAGAAGGCCATAAGACCCTGCTTTCTTTATTTCGTTTATAATCATGTTCTTGACCACATTTCCACTTGTCAGGAACATTTCTTCTCACTGCAGCGGGAGATTTGTGATTAAAATGCTGCATTTTGTCTAGCCCAACAGCACGAAACAGGTTTAGCAAAGAAAAGAACTTAACATTGGCAACTGCCTCCCTTGCTAACCAGTACAAGGCTGCAAAAGCATTGTACAATACATCGCTGCGAACTGCTTCCTTTTCTCTATATTGTTGATGAAACATTGACACCCTTTGATTCATTTTAGCTTCCACAGCAGCTTGATGCATTTTGGCTGAAGAATGTTCTCTGATGGCCTCTTTCCTGTATCTTTTGCTGGGTGTAGTGCTGAATACTGCAGCATTGTTCTGGGTGTTCAAAGTTTTATGTTTACAGCAAAGAAAACAAAACATGCCTTGGTTTTCCGAGAACAGAAGCCACCAGATGCCTGTGGTCTTATCATAGGCTAGTTCTCTTTCTTCGACCCAGCTGTGGTGAAATCGTCTCTTCTTCAGCTTCTTCTGCCTGGCCTCCTCTTCTTCTGAGAAATCTTTGCAGCTTTTCTGTTTGCACTCGTAGTAGTTGTGCAGGTTAGAAAGTCCACATTTCTCTACTTCTAATAACATTACGTCATCTGCTATTGCTTTAGATACACTTGGCCCTCGGGTTTTTTTCTACTTGCCGTGAGGTATGTGAGAGTGCTTCATTAGACGACTGAGTTTCTACCCCTTCACTTGCTGCTTGTATTAAAGGCATTGTTGAATCATCTGCCAAAGAAAGGTCCAATATGCAATGCATAAAACCTCACCCTGTCGCTTATGCTGAGTTACATTTTTGGCGGATTTCCATTTACCTTTTGCAGTAGTTTTTTGTGTCGTTTGTTTTATGAGCTGCTGAAGAATTAAGCTTATAAATTGTATGTGTACACGAAGTTTATCTTGACATTCCTTTTAACGTTACTTCTTTTATGCTTCTATAATTGTAGACATTTTTTTAGTGTTTTAAAAGATTTCCACTGTAAACATCTCTTTTCAAGTTACGCGGTACATACTGTAAGTACTTTTTGACTTCCCAGCTTTTACGCAATCTTTTCGAACATGAATAAAGATATCTGCTCGCTCGTAAAAGTAAGCTTAATGTTCATGGGACAACATCCGCAGCTTCAGCTCGGACCTCACGCAATGTTTGTTTTTATTTCGGATAAGTTTGCTGGGAAATTTAATTAACCATCCTGTTATAACTGTTAGGAATTTGCACTAACCATACAATTCAGCAGGTTTCGAAGTTCTTAGAGTTCTCATAATAACCAAAGAGGAGCGGGTTGATTGCTTGTATTCAAAGGTCATTGTGGTTCAATGACTCTTTTGACATGCAAAACGCACACTTTATTTATATCTGCCAGTGCAAGTTCATTATGTTCAAAAGATAACTTGTAATGTATTGACTCACCTTTTGCCCTCTTTGGAAAGAAATTATCTAAGACGCCTTGGAGGTGAGGTCTTTTACTAGCATTCTTCGCCATTTTAAGCAAGTGCTTTTGGTCGCGTGAAATGTCAAGTGCAAATGTTATGTAACAGCATGACAGAGGTTAGGTCCTGGCGATGCGTTTCGTGCAATGCGATCAAACTTCGACATTTATCCCTTTGGTTGAGATATCCTTCGGTAATCCGGACACTGAAATATTAGTTTTCATGAAGAAAAGAACTGTAATTTAGAGATGCAATTCCTGGTTAGACTCCCCTGGCAAGGCGGGAAAGTGGTGAAAAGAAGTTTTGGTTAGTCTGGCTTTTGATTTCGTATTTGTCTACTTGAGACCTATTTTGGCGAAGGCGGGTACTGTGCTCAGAGTAGACGGGTGCCGGTACCCGGGTCCCGGCTTCTAATAAAACCCCTGCAGTTGCAGTTGCACTCCACTCGTGAACTTACAATTCTATAACTAGAAGTAGCTGTTGGTTAGGAAGCGTGGGCGAAACCGCTTTCATATGTAGGTGAATGCCTTTCAAACTAGATTGAACAACACAGTAAACAAGACTCGTATATTCAACAATTTTATTTGCAGTTGCTTAGATGCAATTAGTCTACGAATGATAAGAAGCGAGGAAAGACATTTGTATTTTATTTGCCGGCAGATACATTGAAACAGTAATGTGTGACACAAGTAATGTGGGTATGCAGTCATGCACAAAGTGTTGTTGTTATTCAATTGAATATTCAGTCCATGTTGAATGACTGAAGGCCGCTGATTTTCGGTACAAAATAATGAAACAGCTTAAATTACCACTGGGGTTTAAAGCTTAAAATCTCGCTACACAGTTAAATGAATGCCGCTGAAAATACGTTTGGGTCTAAGAAATTTAAGTCTATTACTTGTGCAATATGAGGAAAATCAACTGATTACATAATTGTAACAAGATCTTCTTGGAGAATATGCTAATGACATGCTGTTGAGACATTCCAAAGATCCTGTGTAGTTTTAAAACATAAGAAAGTAGGTACAATGAGGATACCACTAGGGGTTTGAATGTGTTTGCAGGTTACCCTGCTTTGGGACATTAGACTCAACCCTCTAAAAATTTGTCTTGGCAAAATACGCATTCCTGTTGTGGTTGAAAGTAAACTAAAAGCACATCTGCCAAAATTAACTGTTGTAGTAAATTACTGTAGCTGAATGTAATTTAACATCATCACATACCCACAAAAACACAGAAAAAGCATTTACCAAACCTTCGCATAAAACTTGAAGCTGTCTAGTAGAGTTGGCCCAAGCACTACTTTCTGTTACGCTTCAAAGTTTTGGACCCTCCGGTCAAACCAAGGTGGGTGTTCTTCTATCGGCTCAATTTTTACATCGTCGCATCTTAAAGAATTCCATTTAAAAATCCCAGTTTTTCCTGCCAAGCAACAAATGCGTATATTTGAACTTTGAACCTGAAAGGGATCTATACGAAATTTGACAGAATAAAGAACAATCTATAAAGAAGCAAAACTTTACACATAGCTCAATGTTCAACATCTAACTCACCTATCAGCTTCTTAATGGAGGATGATGTGTCTGTGCAAACTTGGATAACATTGAAGACTCTAAAGTCTTGTTCAAGGTATTCTTATCCATCATACTTAATTTCAACCCAACAAGTCTTTTTTCGAGAACTTCTATTTCAATAACATAGCCACTCATCATCTCCATTATGTAGCAGACGAGGCTTTTGGCGAAGGAAAAGGTGCATTATTATGGTCTAAGTGAAAAAAAAATCGCTGCAAACAGTAAGATTGTCATTTGCAAATTGGGTCCACAGTTCGTCTCTCAAATTTTCCCACCATTTATCAGTTACAGGGGCACAATGCAGTTTCTGGACTCTGTTAACGAGCTTTTGCTGGTAAAAAGATGTCATTGCTGAATTACAATTTCTTGTGCTTTAAGAGTAGCACCGGAAATGACTGCGAGTAAAGTCTTTTTTCTTTATTTAAGACATTACATCAAGCTCCTTCCTCCCAAACGTTTTAAGAATATGCTAAAGTCAATTCTTATTCAACAATATATTTTTTTCTGGCTTTCCATTGCTTGATACTGACGCTATTAGTTTTCTTTTGCTGTCTTCCCTTTTTGTCTTTACTTATTCACTAGCTTTTTTCTGTTTTTTTGTGTGCGTGTTTTGTGTAGCTGTGTGTACCTGGTGTACCTGACCGTTTATAAAATCATTTATTAATGACCTAAGTAAGTTTGCCCTATCTTTTTAGCCGTCAATGGTTATTATGGGCAGCCAGTACTCTCTCTATATTTAATAGTATGTTTTTAACAGTGTAAATCAATGTAGAGTGCAAATAAAGATGTTATTGTTGTAGGTTTATTATAAGGTAATTTACTACTTTGTCCGAGTTTTGTTTTCACGGCGTTACATGGAGTGCTTAAATTGGCCAAAAGGTTTTTTAAGAGGAGGAAATACATGATACTTCACATCCTTGATTCAAAATCCTTGTAAAGAATATTCCAGCCAAAATAAGGCTAATCAACTCATTTTTTACCACGCACACCTCAAAGCAATTGCTGACCTTTCTGATTTTGTAGATAATTTTCCTGCTCCTGCTGGTCCACATCTTTTCTTGAAGATCTTTTAGTTTCTTCAGGTACCACCCATTTTTTTTGCTTAGGCTAAGGTAATCTTCAAATGCTTTGATCCACCTTTCCCTATACCTCCTCTCGTTGTTAACATCTCCCACCATTCCCTTTGGTCTCCTGCATTTCCTATCACAGTCTGTTAAGGTATCCACCTCCATCATTTTGTTTGTGTCTGGTCACACCAATAAAAGGGTCCAATCGGGAACTCTAGACCCTGGCCATTTGGTAACCCAAGATTCTTCATTCATCAATGGTCTAGATTGCATGAAAACTTCTCCATTACATTTTGTGCATTTTTACGTGTGAGGACGAAAGGAATCTATCGCAAGGCTGTATCCATTTTTTATTGTTACATATGAAGTTAAGTAAGTGGACCAAGTGTTGGAAATCCTGATCGGTTTTCCAAAACAATCTCAATATCTTGCTTTGCTATTTTACATATGTATAAAATTTTTTTCGGAAAAGCTGTTAATAGAGTTGGCAAAATCTGGACCCATAGAGCATGACAGGAGCTATTCATAGTTACTTCATTCACCTGATCCACGTCCTTGTACATATGACCAACCATGAGAAATGAAAACAAAAAACGACCTATGGAAAGATTTAGAGGACCAATATATATATTTATATACTGTACTAGAACCTTGCAAATCAGTTGCAGGAGTAATAGTGCAGCAGACAAAGTTGCACATGGCTCGTCGTCATTCAACCGGTTTGAATGAAGGTATTGTATTGTCTGACTAATTAGAGATTATGTTTTTGATCTTAATTCTTATAATTGTGCGGGTTGATGCAAGAATAAGGAGTTACCATGAGTAAACTTGCTTCTTCAAGTATTCCCATTTCAACCAAACGAGCAAAAAAGCCAAGAATATATCTATTTTTGCATGCACAGTACAAATTACAGTCAATACAAATATGAAGGCAACTGCTCTTCCGTAAACGTAACAAGATGACAGAAACAGCGCTATGCTTCAGTGTTACCATTTTGTTTTGTTTATAGGTTATATAATACCTTTACCAATTCTGTATATATCCTCATGAAAAAATTCAACGTCAGTTTTGAATCGTGAGGCCACCTCAGACAACCTATTAAAATGAAAATGTGGCTGTTTCCATGGGAGATAACACCAGTAATGTGTGTTTGCAAAAAGTGTAGGATTTGTCCTAATTTGCAATCGGGTGTCCTTCTTCCCTTTTTGTGTGGGAGGCCGTTGGAAAAGAGTGCCTGATACATTACCTTTACGTGTCGTCTGCCCATAGTCCAGAATCTGGACTTTTGTCTGGTCGGTCAAAAAACAAAACATCTTTCGGAGCCCTGCACAAATTGGTCAAGGAACATTTCTGGCCTCTGGTGCTATCACATACGTTTTATTACCTTTGTCTCTTCATGACAGTAACCACGAGATGATCAAGGAATTCTTTCTACAGCAAGCTTAGTGTTTAAAGGTAGGTCTTATTAATAGTTTTTAAATGAATTAAATGAACAATAAACAGAGAGAAAAACGTTGACAGCTGAGATGGATGAGGATGGAGTTGTTATTTGTCACTGGTATTGAGGATATACCCTATTTCTTCTTCAGTGCTTTCTTGTTTATACCAAGCAGAATTGTTGTCTTTGATTTCCGATTGAGTTCAACTGCACAAAAGTATGTAAAACAAAAAATTATTGACGATTTTAAAACCGCACTTTTATGTCTGGTAAACAGCTCCTAATAATATGGAACAGACCTAACAGACTATTTTGACAGATAAAGATGAATGTCGTGAAAAAGAGAAGGTGCATGTTCTTCCAGAAGATAAAATATATAGTATTATTAATTACATGGATACTGAGTTTGACAGTCAATGCATCAAAGTGATTGTTGCCCTTAACTACTCTCGCAGTAAGACAGAGTGCTCAGGATAAAGAGCCGAGACAGCTAAGAAATCCCTTGAACAAGTAAGCGAAATAATTAAAGAGTGTAAAAACACCCAATTGGCAGCAGAAGATTTGGTGAAGTTAAGATGGATAAAAAAGATTGAAGACCTTAGAAGTAAAGTCAAAGGCATGACTTTTGAAAATAGAACAAGGCGAGAGAAACAGGTGGCCAGAGTATTGTTTAAATGACGTGAAAGAAGACCTTGTGTCGCGTTCCCACGATTGGAGTGAACAATATGAGATATTTTCTGCATACGATGATAATATTTTCCCGTGTTTTCATGAATTTAACATGTTTTCCATGGAGAACTTCAAAGTTTATTCCAAATCTTGGACGTTACAAAGAATGTCATGCATGACAAGTCATATCCGTAAAGCTGGTAAAGTTGATTTGGGTGATAGAGTAACCCTTATTGGAAAATTTGCTTGTAAACCAGAGCTAACTTAAATCCCCTTGCTAGGGTAGCCCTTCCCTTGTAAACAGGCCGTTAATTAAAAGTTGTGACACTGCTCACACTAGATCATGGTTGAAAAATGCTTGAAGTAGAAAGGCACAAAGGTCTGGGATTGTTTTGCAGTAAGTAGTCGCTAAAAACTCAAGGAAACAAGCAGATCCATACCCACCACCAAAGAGTGCACTGCAAAAATCCTCAGATGGGTGGTGCTAAGTCTGCAAAGTCAGGCCTTTATCTCATTCATAGCTTTGATGATAAAGCTGCCATGAAACCAGGAACATCTGAAGGTTTTTGCACTACATACACCCAGGACGTGCTTCATGCTACGGTTTCTGAAAAGGCACCTTCTTTGTCCACATACGACTTTCATGAGAGCACTATGACAATAAGCCTGGAACACTCAGGATTTTCACGAAGACAGTTGTTACAGTTAATGGCTAGGAAAAGTTGAAGATGGAAGAAGACAACAGCTTCTGTTTTGTGCGGCCCAAAGTGATGGTATCCTTCACCTGGGTCCATTTGGGCATATGAAAATATGCGCCTTAGGCATGAAAATCCAAAGCTTTTTCAAGTTCATGATGAGAAATGCGAGTATACTGAGAATTTTCAATCCACAGTGAGCATGATTCATGACAAGGTAAGCCACTTCATTGACTCTACTTCCTCGCTTTCATTTCAGGCTGCTGCAAATTTTACTTATTTTTTTCAAGCAACATCTCATACTGTTGTGACGCTGTTGTCATCGAGTCATGGAGTTTGGCCAGTCGTGCCAAGGCGTGTGCATTATACTCATGGTTTTCCTGCTTTCCTCTGTTGAGGTGGTGCCCCGTGGTGTCAAAAAGGTGATCCCGGCTACAAACTGTCTCGCGGAGTTTGTTGTCCATGCTCTGTTTCCAAGTAATGCCCTTCAGCTTTTCAGTAATTACAGATTTATCTCCTTCAAAACATAGTCATTCTTCAACAAAATGCTGCCAATAGCTGTGGGATTATTGATTATCCTGGATGATATCCTATTCTCTTACTTGTTTAGCTGTTTTTCTATGTTCCATTGTCTTCTCCTCTCTGCCACAAATGCCTGGAAGAAACTGTCACGGTTTAGCCAAACTGCCACGTGCTTTGATAAAATTGAGCCAGTCAGCCCTTCAGGGTTTTCAGGAATTACAGATTTATCTCTGCTTCAAAACATAGTCATTCTTCAACAAAATGCTGTCAATAACCGCGGGATTATAGCTTGTCCTGATTGACATCCTAATCTCTAGCTTGTTTAGCTGTTTTTCTGTGTTCCATTGTCTTCTCCTCTCTCCCACAAATGCCTGGCAGAAACTGTCGCGATTTAGCCAAAACTGCCACGCCCTTTGGTAAAATTGAGCCAGCAATTCATTGGACAAAATGGCATTCTTTGATTTGGCATATGGAAGCCATCCTACCAATGTTCATCCATTCGGTGTTCCTTCTGTTTTTGGCACTACTTCTTGTACTATGTCCTGGGATTCATTGGTCTTGACCTCTGAACTAGACCGTTTACGTTGTTCTGGAAACAGCCACAATATCTGCACTTGTGCTGTCCATTTTTTGCCTCAAATCCCTTACAGTCCCATGTGGTGCATTTTCCCCTTTCTATACCTCTTGAAACTACCCCCATTGGTTATTACTTAATTAGAAATATATGACTTGCTGGGCCTTCACACGGCTTCGTGAGATCGTGACCTGCCATGCTTGTACAAGCGGTGTTTCACATGCTTGTCACCTTGATACATAAAGATAGATATCACACTGTATTGTAAATGCTTAAATGAAGACTGCTGACCCCAATAACGGTGAAAGCATTCCAATTGCACGTGCGATGCTAACAAAAATGTTGTTTTTGTATAAATCTCTGAAACGCAACTAATTTCAGCCATCAAGTATTAAAGGTATTTGGACCTCAGACACCTAGGACTTGGCAAATAGCATCGATATGTTTGTGTACTGCAAATGCTGTCAGATACCACACCTCCGCTTTCTGACAGTCTTTCTGACAATACACTCTTCTTTAGGCCCTGAAAACAAAAGAAAATAAAGGAATAAAGGAAAGAATTTTTCTGAAACATATAGCCATGACTGTTTTACAATGGAAGTTTGTGCATGTTGTCTAGCCGAACCATCCTGTTATTTATTACATTCTCAAGTTAATACTGCATTAAAATGCACACATGTTAGAATCCATGGCAACCTGAGGGCTTCTACCTGTTTTAACCAATGAAATCTCACCGTTTATGTAATGCATGCATGTGAAATTTATCATGGCAGACCTTTGGAGGTCGACAGAGCAGTTGTTCAAAATTTGAGGAAAATCGACCAAAATTGTGGTCTTTTTCAACAAAATCACATCGCATCTACATAAATGCTTCATTTCAAATTTCAAAGGCCCTGAATTTTATTCAGCATCACAACAGTACAGGGAGAAGATGTGAAACCTTCCTGACAAATGTACATGGGTTAAATTTTTTTAATCCGAATTGTTTGAACACTCATTCTGGCATTTTTAATAAGTGAAGATCGGCCGTTACTGGACTCCATTTGAATTTCTGGGATTATAAGCTTTGAACGGTTTACAGAAAAGATCCAGTTTGAGTTTTAAACAGTGGCATTTATATTATTAATAAGTTTATTTGTAAGTTACGGTACTTGTTTGTATCTAAAATATAAGCTTACTTGCATATTTACTCGTTCGTTGGAGCTACTCTCATATGGTAACTCATTCATGCTTCATTAGCACCACTATTATAATAATAATAATAATAATAATAATAATAATAGTAATAATAATAATAATAATAATAATAACTGTTTATTCACAAATCCAAATCGGAAAGTGAAAAGGAGATAAAAGAGGTTATCCCCTTCTAGTTTATCTCCTGATAATAAAATACATTAAGAAATAAATTATTTACAACTGTTTAAAATAGCAACTATATATGTATATAAAACATCACACAGTAAAAGAACTTAGTGTTCACCAGGAAAATCTGTAAGATAACGTCTCAGTCTGTTCTTGAAAATATTCAAATTCTCCGCCTCAGCAACTTCCTTTGGAAGATTGTTCCACTTACCTATTATGCGTATAAAAAAAGAATGTTTAAAACTATTTAAAGTTGCTGATGTAAGCTTAAGTTTAAAACGATGGTTGGCTCTTAAGGGCTGAAAATCATGTGCAAATGTGAAAAATGCCGAGGGATCAAGTTCATTAAGTCTATTTATTGTCTTATAACACTCGATAAGGGACGAAAATAATCTTCTTTGTTCAAGTGATGGCCATTTAAGGAGCTTTAGGCGTTCTTCGTAAGGCATGTCTTGCCCAATATTTCCAAGGGCACATTTAGATGGTCTATGTTGTACTTTCTCCAAGGTGTTTAAGTCTTTTTTAAGGTGCGGACACCAAACTGGAGAGCAGTACTCGAGTATCGGACGTACTAGACTCTTATAAAGTTTTGAAAACAACTGAGGATTTTTAGGACCCACCGTTCGCCTAATGAATCCAAGCACACTATTTGCCTTATTTGCGCATTTGTTAGCTTGCATACTCCATGACAGGTTCGAAGTAATATAGATTCCGAGATCCTTAACTTCAGATACAGCTTTTAATTGGTTACCACATAGATGGTATTGAGGACTTGAGTAATCATTTTTTTTAGAAATGCGCATCGCTTCGCATTTATCTGTGTTAAATTTCAGCTGCCAGACATGGCTCCAAGATTCCAGGCGAATAAGATCTTTCTGTAGCTCTTCAACATCTTCCTTAGTATCCCTGAGTATCCTATACAATTTCATATCATCTGCAAAAAGTTTTGTGCTTGACATAATGTTTCTTGAAATATCATTAATATAAATTAAAAATAAAATGGGTCCCAGCACAGTTCCTTGGGGTACACCAGACAAAACGGAAGTCCAAGATGAGTAATGTCCCCGCAGAACAACGCGCTGGTATCGATTGGTGAGAAAACTTCTAAGCCAAGACAGGAGTGGACCTTGGATACCATATGCGTGTATCTTTGTCAAAAGGCGTTCATGTGGCACCGAGTCAAAAGCTTTTGAAAGGTCCAAAAATATAACATCAGTTGTCAAGCCTTTGTTTCTCCCGCTGGCCCAATCGTGAAACGATGATAATAATTGAGAAAGACAAGATTTCCCTTTCAGGAAGCCAAATTGCTCCGGAATAAAGACCTCGTTTGAAATCCAAAACTGAACAAGCTGCTGTCTTACTATCATTTCACACACTTTACACACCACCGATGTCAGTGACACAGGGCGATAGTTCTTTCGATCGCTTTTAGCACCTTTCTTATGCAAAGGAGTAATGTCAGCCAATTTCCAATTGTGTGGTAACATGCCTGATGCAAGAGACGCATTAAAAACGTCACTAAGTGATGGAGCCAAGGTTCCAGCACATTTCTTTAAAATCATGGGATGTATACTGTCCGGGCCAGGAGATTTACGAGGTTTCAACTCGCTTAGAATCTTGCTTACAACCTTAGGTGAACAGTGTAGAAGACTAAGATCCTTGTCTTTAATAACTTGATCAAATGATGGAAAATCAGCAAAGTTTTCGGCTGTAAAAACGGAAGCAAAATATTCGTTCATGCACTCAGCAATGTCATCTTCGTTGGTTAGTACATTGCCATTATGTAACTTTATAGCAATTAGATCATTTGATCCTTTGCGCCTGGACTGCACGTAATTCCAAAAGAGCTTGTGTTCACTCTTGTCCTGCATGTCGTTTGCCAATTTATCGAGGTACTCCCAGCGGGCCTTGTTGCATTTTTTCTTCAACAATTTACTTGCCTTTTTGTAAGTGGACCACGATTCATCATTATTTCTAATCTTAGTTTTTTTGTACAACCGCTTCTTTTTCCGCACTAGTTTAATTATCTCAGCTGATATCCAAGGGGACGGACGATTTTTCTTCTTTTTCTTTTTTGAAATACACTCGTCAACGGCGGTAAAAAATAAATCGGTCCACGCACTCCAAACTTCATTCACATCATTTGAAAGAAATGCACAATGCCATGGAATGTGTTCAAACAACTCATTTAGGCGTGACCAGTCAGCCTTGTTGTAGTCATAAAATTTTCTTTCAGATGATTTCCGGTGATAGGGATGAACATTCACATGAAAAGTAATAATATTGTGGTCCGAAATTGGTTCACCAACCTCGGTGTCACAAATCACGTCACTATTATTAGTTAGGACAAGGTCAAGAATGTTGTTTCCTCTTGTAGGTTGCAAGACCATTTGAGTTAGGAAATTATCCGATAAAATATCCGAAAATAGTTCGTAGTCAGCTGAGTAATTCAGCATTAATCTATTATTCCAATCCACGTCCTTAAGATTAAAGTCTCCAACCAGAATTATATCTGCTTGAGGTGTCTGATGTTCCAAATTCTTCTGCAGTATTTCTAAACATCTGGTGTCGCTTGCTGGAGGTCTATAAAACACACCAAACACAAAAGACTTGTTCATTGAATAATGTATATCAAGCATTAAAAGTTCAATGTCAGATCCTTCTAATACATCTCGCTGGTTGCAGATAATATTGTCGCTTACAGCTACCAAAACACCACCGCCTCTTCGGTTTCTATCGTGTCTATAAACACGATAGTTGGAGGGAAATAACTCTGCAGAGTTTACTGATTGGTCCAAATGCGTCTCTGTGATGGCGATAATGTCGAAGTTTTTTTAATAAACATCGACTTCCAAGGAGGCGGACTTGTTAACAAAGGACCTAGCATTGAAGTAAGCAACTTTTATGCAGAGGGAAATTGTCTCGCAACAAATTTAACGTTTCAGTGATTATAACATATTCATGATGCCACAAAGTGCAAAGGATAAGCTTGTTTTTGTTTGCTTTTCGCTTGAAATTTCTTTCTTTAGGCTTCAGAGTGATGAGCTGGTGGTTATATGATGATTGACTAGGATCTGCCACAATCTCACATTCTGCTTCTTGACGTGATCAAAATGTTGTGGCTGCTTGTTGTACTTGGCATGGATTCCTTTGGTCCCTTGATCACCGTAGAATCCAAGGCCAATGTGTCATTGTCTTAGAAATGAACAAACATGGTCTTCTAGCAGATGAAGCTTTGGTGTGATTGCTTTGTCAGGGAGGTTTTCTCTGATAAACTGCTGGAACTTTTTGATGTCTGCATCAAGAAAAGGTGAATGAAACTTAACTTACTGTGCCCAAGCAGGACAATGCATGTGATGTACATATTTATATCTCAGTTTGTTATTTCACCTACTAGCTTATCGATCTTCTCATCATCAAAGTACTCTGCGCTATCATAGAGAAAATGGCAAGCAGCAAACAATTTGAAGGCTTGTTCAAACTTGACACTAATTTCTCTTGCCTGAGAAAGAAAAGAAGGACACAGCTCTTCTGTTTTTACCATTTACAGCACTGCATAGTTTAGTGATATTGGGTGCCTAAGAAGAAGACGCCAACAAATTAGGTTGTTAATGGCAGTTCGTGCGTTTACTTGTATGTAGTTTTGATCTCTTAATTAAGGTGGAATGTATGTTTCCTTGCAGCAGGTGTGCACGTGGTTACCGATGGAAGATTTTCCATGGTAAGCCTTTCGCTCAACATTCATTCCCTTCAGGACCATGTCCAAATGCTTTGTTAGTGGTCCATCGGATCCATCAAGCCCTTGCTAATTCCATCTGCTTATCTGCAAGTTTCTCCTGTAATTAAATGTAAAGAGAACATAAAAATAAATTACATTATTCATAGTGTGGATTATCATGGTCTAACACAGCTTCTTCAAGACAGTCATAGATTTTGGATGGAGTTAGTCAGCTGAACATTCTTGATGCTATAGTATACTGTTTTGTTACCTCCTTCTTTGCACCTTTAAGGAGTCTGTCAATTTCACTTTGCATTGACGTGAAAAAGGCAGGCATAATAGCCACATCAGAATGCAAACTCTGTAAATTCAATAATTCCTGTAAAGAATTTGCTTTGTCATGCAAATGTTGTGCCTGACTACTACATACATACATACATACATACATACATATCCTTTATTTAAACACGATATGGTTTAAAGCTCAAAGCTTGTGGGGTCGTGTAAAAATGATTACAAATGGATAAAACTGTATAAAAATAGGAATAACATCACTTACAAAATACAACTACAATTAAATTCTAAAAAAAATATGCAGTAAGATTCTAACCAAAAAGTAAACAAATAAATAAATAAAAATAAATTTAAAAAAAATACAAGGTTAAAATGAATTTACATTAGTTACCTCTAAGTAAATTGACTACAGCATTTAAAACAAAAAATAGTTAAAAGCATTTAAAATCTTGGTAGTGCCTGGGCATCGACTGGACCGACTGTGCGCTAAAATCAAGTTTCTTAAAATAAGAGTCCTTCTTCACTTTGCGATAACAAACAGTAAACTGGTCTGTAAAATGACTCGAGACAACGTTCCAAAGAATAGTGGCTCTTTAGCTAATAGAGTTATTAAGAAACCCGAGTTAAAACGCGGGACGATTATGTTATTACTCCTTCTGAAGTGGTATGCAGTGCAGGGTTTATTTGTCAAGTATGAAAGAGCCGTAGGTGCTTCACCTATAAACACGCTATGGAGTAGTTTAATTAATCGAAGTTTATAATAGAGGGTTAAAGTATTCCAGTTCGAATGTCGGTAAACTTCCTCGGTAGGCATATCTTGGGGCAAGTTGTATTTAATTCTGGCTGCCCTACGGTGAAGTACTTCCAGAGATTCTAGAAGCTCTGCATTAGGGCAGCCGCCCCAAACGACTAGTCCGTATATAACTGATGGTAATATTATCTTGAAGTACAAGTCCAATAGGGCGTTTCTGCTCAAGAACGAACCCCTTTTCAGGAGGTTCAGTTTGTTTACGAAATTCTTTTTTACATCTGTAAGGTGACGTGACCAGGAAAGCCTCTCATCGATAGTAACGCCCAAAAGACGAGAGTGTTTCACCCACTCGATCCGATCGTCTCCAATAGTCACAGAATTTAGCGGCCTGATGTACGGTTTTCTCATCAACAGCATAGCTTCGCACTTTGCCGAGTGAGGGGTTAAAGAGTTCTCTAGGCACCAACTGTTCAATTCCGATAAAGCTTTATTTAAAGAAGTGACAGTGTTATCAACAGTGTCCCCGATGTAATAAACGGTGGTGTCATCTGCGTACATAAAGACAGAGCCAGAGGTAACAGCACTTGGTAGGTCATTGGTGTACAAGGCAAACAACGTTGGGCCAAGTACTGATCCTTGGGGAATCCCGCAAGTGACATGTAGCACAGTTGAGTGCTGGGCGTTTACTACCGAGAATTGAGTTCGATCAGTTAGCAAGTCTGTCAGCCATGATAGAAGACAACCTTGAACACTACTGTGTTGATGAGCAGCTCTGAGTGCCAGGATTCTTTCATCATTGTTATCACTGTCAGCTGCCAGCTCCATTTCGATTATTTTGTCCAGCTCAGCGCTTTGGTTCTCAATTTCATCAAATAATCTCTTGAAAACACCCAAGCTGATGTGAAGTCCAGAAACAATGAAGAAAGAATCAGATTGCTAAGTTTCCTTTTAATGCCCTGTTTTATTAGTATTTGTTTTTCCTAAGCTAAAAAAAGAGTTGATAGTTTATTTACCTTTCCAGTTCAATGTCAAGCAGTTTCTCATGGATCATATTGTGATAACACTTCTGTCGACTTGTTACACAGCCATCTGCAACAAACTTGTTATAATCTTCTTCAATGTTCTTCATGTTTCTCTTTTCTATTTGCCAATGACGAGGATCCTGGCAAGAGAGTTGGAGCATCTCATATGTGATCAGGCACCAGAGGCATGGACACTTGCCTGCAAGATATTAATTTACTTATTAGTACTCCTTCCACAGAAAGTGTTTTTGGGCTACAAGTTGGGAAGGTTCTACTTAGTTAATTATATTAATCAAATATTTTATGTTTTGTATGTTTTAATTATTTGAACTTACCTGAGGCTCCAGCAGTTTGAAATATCTTTCGTAAGAACTTCTAGTCACCAAAGAGGAAAAGTATTTGCTTTTTGCCTCTACAACAGCAAAAAAAATCAATGTTGAATTTCAGCAGGATGCCTCAGTGTGGAGGTTTTACCCTGTATTGTTTTATAAAAAATCTATAGTACATTTACAGTGTATGTACCAACCTCCAAGTAGCTTCCTTTAGGGTGTACACTGGCTCCCTGTATTTTTAAAGTGGTCCATGTATCTTTGGCGTGGAACATGGCAAAGACCACTGTACTTGTTTTGACTTTGGATGTTTAAGGTTGGCAATCTGGAAAGCCATTTTGAGGGAACCCACCAACAGCATCACCTCCAGGTTTTAAGTGGACTTCCTGATCTGGGATGGCATTATTCCATGTCAAGCGTCCATTCCTAAAATAAATAGTGATAATTCCTTCACGAGACAGTGCTAAAAGCCTACCTTACATTTGCAATGAATGACCTCTATTCACAGTAATGATTGACATTGCTGCTACAGTAATGTTCATAACCGAATAAAAGCCAAAGAATTATACTTTTCACTGTCATCCAAACGAAGTTGCACAAACTGGTTAAGGTCAGCAACAACCAAACTCAGCTTTTTTAATTTCAGGGTTGCATCCTGGTTTTTTGAACTCAAACAGCATCATCTCACACACAAAATTGGCAGGGTCAGTAATGGACTGAACTTGCTTCGGCTGATCTTTTTCAGTCTCAGAGGACAGTCGCCATTGGTTAAACCACCTGTAGAGAGACAATCCAGGACAATGCTATTATAACGTATAAACCTAAGTGGAAATTGACTTTGTTGGTACTTATTGTAGCTACATTATTTGCATTCACTTGGAATGCTATGTCCTGTACACAGGTCGAATTGAGGAAGTAATCAAATTAATCATAGGACGAAAAAAATTTTTTTTGCTCAAATGTTGTGTGGATTTCTGGGGGTATGTTCATTATTTAGAATCTTACCTTCCAAGCCACCTAACTTTGTACCATGTTTTTCCAAGGTCTGGCTTCATGTCACCCCTGGAGATGGTTATCTTCAATTCTTTTCCTCAGGCCTCCTTCAGCAGTGCTTCTCTTTACAGTCTACCCATTACTTTCAATTCATCCACCAACTGGGTCCCTGCAGCACCACCACTTACAGCTGTTCTGGTCTCTGCTACTACCTTCGATCTTTTTCTAACAGTTTTTTTTGTTACCTCATCATTTGTTTTCCTGGCCCTGGATCTTTTAACCAGGTCTAGTGCCTGAAAATTAATATGATAATCATGTTTTTCATGCCATGTTTTGAAATGTAGTGTTTGGGCTTCAGTCCAGGTTTGGGTTTTCTTTTCCTTCTAAGCTTTTGTTGGTCCTTGTAGGAACTGCATATAACACAGTCGCCAGATTGGTTATGTGGAGGCCAAACATTGATTGTGAGACATGTGCCTCCTCTTGAAGCAGGCTTGTAGCACTTGTGGGAGAATTTGGAAGGGCATGTGTCATGGTCATCTCAGATCTTTACATCAAAGGCCGTGAAAATAATTTCTCTCTTATCTGCACCAAGAAAGCTGTTTTCGTACTTATCTTTGGCCTTCTTCAACCGCTCCCCACAAGTTTGGAAAAGCTTCTCCAATAGTAAATAATGTTCAGAAAGACCAAAGTTTACCATTTGATTAAACTACACTGAACTGGATTTACTCGAATTTTAAAGCTATCTATAGATGCAGTGAATAAATTTGAAGAAAAAATAATTTGACAGTCCAAGAGTGAAACAAATTTTACATCGAGTTAATAGTCTTATTTGTACATCCAAAAATAGCAATCATGTTCGATCACAGTAGATTAGGTCTAGAGAACAAATAGACCTATTCGTGTATTGTATTTGCATTAGCTGTTGCATCATAATTTATAAAATAACTAAGATAGTACGCGCGCCCTGATTGGCCGAGAGGAGTGTTTGCATGAGAGTATGTGAACATGGTTGTGACGACAAGATGTTTTGTTTTTCGCGCGCTAATCACAAGCATAAATTTGAAAAAGTTTTTGAGTTCAAAAGTTGACAAGTTTACTTTATTTACCCATTCCTTCATCGACTAAAACTTGGAACATCTTTACAAACAAGCTGTGTCAATTTTGTTTTCACTTAAGCTGACATTTTAAGCGAGAAAAATCCGTATTTTGGAAAGCATCTTTTTGCAAAACAAGAACTGATTATGCGTGCCAGCCTCCGAGACAGTTATGCAAACCCTCGACTTCTATGGCATTTTTTGGGGGTCAAAATTAAATGATACATTTTACATGGTGAATTAAAATAACCGATACATTTTACGTGGCGAATTAAAATAACCCATACATTTTACATGGCGAAATAAGATACGCATGTATTTTACCTGGCGAATTAAGTAACGCATGCATTTTACTTGGCAAATTAAGTAACGCATGCATTTTACATGGCGAATTAAGATAAGAGTGCATTTAAAATATGGGTGCATTTTACATGGCGAAATAGCTATATGCAAGGCTTGGTACATCTACACGACGAGTGAAAGCTTGACAGAGGCCGACATTTTACTTGGTTAAATCACTTACCTGAAATAAATTTACTTTAAATCAAGTATTACATTTTGAATGAATGACAGTCGCATATATTTTGAATTAATGGCGAAGTACCGTAAAATTCCGAAAGTAAGCCCTAGGGCTTATATTTTTCAAGGTCCTTTTTGAGGGGCTTATTTTTGGAGGGGCTTATCTACAGAGGGAAATTTGCGTTTCAAAATCGATTGGGCTAGCTGTCTCGTTGGAAGTAAATTTACTATTTTTGTTTGTTTTACTTTGTATTTGAGGGTAATTTTCCAAGTACAAGCCCCCTGGGTGCTTATATTTGGAGGGGTAATTTAACGGAGGGTTTTTTGCGTTACCGGTTTTAGAGAGGCTTATTTTCGGAATTTTACGTTATACGATTTACGATCATTTTTGAATCGGAGAAATACTACTGTGCCCAACTGATGGGTAGGAGAGAACCCTGGGAATGAGGATTCCGCATCCCGCTTCAAAATATGGTGGATGGGATTGATCTGACAGATTTTTTTGTACGACTTAGAAATTTCCTTCTTGATCTATCAAGGAGATTACAGTGTAATGCGAACGAAGATACGCTTGATTTTGTAAGTTTCCATTCACAGTTTGGTGGCGGTTTGGATGGAGTACCGCACAACAGACGTTAGGCCGTTTAGTGTAAGGGTGATTCTTTTGCTTGTGGCAGGAAGTGCATTTTGTCCGCTGAAAGCCAGACAGACGAACGCTCTTGTCCATGTGTTCTTGCGATGGAACAGTATGCCAAGAATGCTGCTGGCCGCCATCTTCCTATCTCTCTGTTGTTTCCCCTACCCGACCGGCTCCGTGATGCCCCAGACGACGGTCTATAACCAAAAATTCTCCTGTGCTCCTCCTAGGCTGGACCAGCCATATTCTAAGGCCCTCCAAGGTCTCCTGCACTTCTTTCAGCAGCAGAGCAGCAGAGAGAGCAGACCTTGGTGACGTTGTGCTGTCGAGACTTTCTGGACTCTTTCTGGGCCACTCGCAGTCCTATTTGTATTTGCTCGGCAGCTTGCATTAAATGCTGCACGCATTCCCTGAGCACACCACCTTCCATGAGGCAACTCAGTAGCTTACCACGTGACTTTCTACTTCTGATGGACGCACAACACAAGGGGTGGTGGGGTTGAGAGATGAGTTTGGGGTCCGACGTCTGAGGTCTGAGTTTTCCAGGTCTGAATTTACTAGCCACCCCCATCAGACAGTAGTATTTCTCCGATTCAAAAACGATAGTTCATTGGATTCTTCGCCATTTATTCAAAATAAATACCACTCTCGTGTATTTACAATGCAATACTAATAATATTTAAGGTAGCTTTTGTTTCATAACCAATTAAAATGTTGGCTGCTGTCAAGCTTTCATACGTTGTGCAGATGTAACAAGCCTTGCATATTTTGCCATGTAAAATGCATGTGTTACTTAATTCGCCATGTAAAATGCATGCGTTACTTAATTCGCCATGTAAAGTGCATGCGTATCTCATTTTGCCATGTAAAATGCATGCGTTATTTAAATTCGCCATGCAAAATGTATGGGTTATTTCAATTAGCCATGTAAAATGTATCACTTAATTTTGGCCCCAAAAAAGTGCTATAGACTTTGTCTCGGGCTAGCATAACTGTCTGGAATTCTCCCAACCCCTCTCGTGTTTATATCAGGTTATGCAAACACGGAAAACGTTTTCTATTGCTTAAGTGGCATTCACCAGTCTCTCTGGATTATTGGACAACCCCGAAATATAATTTTAAGAAACACACGCGCCACGATAGTCCTTGGTGGCAGCCAATTTACACATTGCATTCCTCTGTGTTCGACAAGTTTACTCTACAAGTAAATCTTGGCGACGAATTTGATGGCGTGTAAATCAGCCTTTTAAACATACTTTTTCTCGTCACATCTCAGGTAAACAGTACTATGAGGCCCTTTTTCTATCATACAGATCTCGGACAGAATTTGTTCTTTTTTGCCCCATTCAAACCTATAATTCTGCAGTTTTTTCACAATTTTGCAAGACAAATTGCACTCATTCAATATCCAGGATGATCAAAGTACGCGCTTCCTTTGCACAATAAATTATAGCATTGACCACATCATAAAACGTTTTCATGAAGAGAATTAGAATTCCATAATGCCGGGACTTTTCAGTTAGAAAAATCTGCTCCTGTGTGATACGTAGCGTAATAATTATGGGCTTTTAGTGAAAAAGATAAAAAAAATTCCCAAAATCACCTTGTCAGCAAGCCGGAGGGGTTCTCACTTTTGACAGGCACCACATTTGCTGTGATTAATAGAGTTACAATTTACGCTTCAACATGATAGAGAATTTGTTGCGTTTAGGTCTTATTTCCCTTTACTTATAAAACTGTTTATGGTTTTGTTATGTGTAATCTTTAAAAACAAGTGATATTTACACGCGGCATTTTGAGTATTCCTGCATGCCATGTTCGACTGGAAACAACCGGTGCAGCGATAAAAATTGCAAGAGGGACTACTAACAATTAATAAAATAAATATAATTCGGTGAAACATGTACAGAGACAATAATTTTCATTCACGAAGACAGGTATTGAGAGTTAAGTGTCCCTGAAAATCATGAGTCAGGTAAGAATAAGCTTATTTATGTTTTGAGCCGGCTTCCCGGTGTTTGCTCTTTTTCAAGATGAACTCGAGGGAAAAAAATCGCTCAGAGCTTTCTGTTTACAGCCAAAATCATAACTAAATATTCTTCAGAACCTTTTCTTTAAATTTGCGGCCAAAAAATGTCTAAAGGCTTTTAAAACCTGATACTATTGTAGGTTAGATCATTGCTCCTGTATAAACTTAAGCCGCATAAACCATACGCTCGACTTCAGGAAACTGAAAAAAAAAACGCATCAAAGACAGTAATTGCTCAGGCTTACCAGTCGCGATGTTGCTTCTGAAGGTCATCGGGTGTTCCAGAATCGCGTGAGACTTTTCAACCCTCTTACGCCTCAAGCAAGGGCAAGTGAGTAAGCTCATTTTTTAACACGATGCCATCCGAAATCGGATTTCCAATGACTTTGACAAGCGGTGCATTTGTCAACAAAAAGCGCAATAAACAAAGCAGCCATGAATTAGTGGACAATCTTGATAGCAGCCGTATTTCATTTTGTACATCAAGTAGAAAAAGACAGTTTAAAACATCACAAGATGACAGAAAACTCTGTCATCCTCAGCTATCAGTAAGCAAGTTTCCAGACACTGAATAAATTTTCCGCATGAACTCAGCTGTGAAATTTTCAATTTTCACCAATCAGAACATACGAATTGGACGTAGAGGGTGATCAACGCGTGACAGTGACAAAAGTCCAGAAAAGTCAAAAGCGATTGCCTTCCATGCATGTACAAGCCGGTTGAATTTTCGCATCCACGGTCAGTTCGAAATCAAAAGTTTAAAAGTGCGGCTCATGAACATGA